AATCCGTTTAACTGAAAGAACATGATTCCGTACTTTCGTAGTGCATGGAAGTCAGCTGTAGTCGGCACCTCCACTCAGAACAATCGACCACAAACCAACACCAATATTCTGTAACCGAATCGGTAAACCGATTTCGTTATTTTTCATCAGCAAACACCTGGACTTTGCGCCCGGATAATTTATTTGGGTGTCAGGTGTTAAGAAATCAGGAAATAAAAATATTAAACAAACTTCTAGGGCCCAGACTCCAACACTCTGGGTGATATTGGAAGTAATTATTCGGTACAATATAGGTGGTTAATAGGTACAGTTGAGTTCAAATTTAAAACCTAACACACATTTTCAATTTTTAATTTGAAAAGTATGTTCCAATAATTTGTTTAGCGAATACATATTTTTTAATGTTTATCGAAAATCAAGCCCTTTGGTTATTTAAATGAACTTTAAATTTAGACGATAAGGACTCTTTTTATCTTAGTCTTCAGTGGTGGTAGTTCAAATAACATTATACAGTGCGAAAAATTGTTTATCAAATAATGTATAACGTCTACTTTAGTTTAATACAACATATAGGTAGTGGCGATTCTATAATGATTATATTTAGTTGTACTTAGTTTGTTTAGATTTTTTTGAAAAGGTCAGTCTGAAACTTATTTCGTATAATAATGTTGTATGTATTTTGCGTTTCTTCAATGCGAACCACGTAAGCCCACACCTGTCGTTTTACTATCGTACCTACTGATCGACAGAAAAAGCAAACGGAGAAGCACAAAGTATTCGGTTCACCCACAGCGATAACCCTGTTATAGAATTTATCATTATTCCTGAATGCGTTATCGTCTTCCAGAAACGAATTGAACCACGGTCAGGACGGGGGCGATGCCTACTGCAACTGTACCTCGTGACCACTTTGATTCGGGTCAACCCACGGATTGCAAGAATTGTCGAAGCATTTTGACGGTGTGATGATATCGGGATGGGGTCAACGAAGGGATACCCAAAAAGTTTCAGTATGTGCTGACCTCGCATGTGCGGAAAAAATTAGTTTGGGTGGATACGGCGATGTGAGACGGATATGAGACCTACGGTTAGAGGAAAACGCTCGGTCACCGCACCACAAGAGAAAATCTGAACGAAAAAAAACGATAAATACCTACATAATATAATCGATATCGTAGAACACTGAACGATTTTGACGATAAAACGGTCTACATTGGTGTCATTTGGTCTTGCCTTGTTTGCATAATCTAACACACTCGACAAAAAAAAAACCGCGCTTAGCGATAAAAGTTAATCATGCTTTTCTTTTCTCTAGTTATTTCTTTGTTAAGCACACGTGCGAGATTATTATAGACATATTTAGACGTGTTCTAGTGAAGTGATAAGAACTTTTAAATAGATTCGAATTTATCGTAAACTCTACAATTGAGGTTGAGTTGAGGTTCTAACATACATTTTTTATTTGAACTACTTCAAAATTTAAAATATGAAACATTTTGAATTTCTAATTGTCTAACATAAGAAGGTTTATCTACTTTAGGATTAAGGGGAATATAATCATAAATTTAGAAAATTCTATCTCTCAAGTAGATCACTCTATATTACATATTCAAATATATTTTCAAAATTCTCATAGTTTGACTATAATGATCAATTTGTACTAAAAAACCTAAAAGTTGAACTTGTGTTAACCAAAGACTGAACATTTCCAAAGATAACAATCACCTTAAACGTTATTTTGTTCTGTTTGGTATACTAAGTAGAACGTCACTTGGAAGTGTAGTATATATTATTATTTAAGTTTCCATATCGAAGTATTTAAATAATTAATATTTTTACATTAAGTCCACGCGCACGACATTACACCAGATCGTATCGTAATGCGCAAGTTGTTATCGTGTCGTCTCGACACGAAAATAATGAATTATTAAAAATGAAACGGATTTTTTGGTTGTTATTATTTGTATTCACCCGACTAGTTTAATTTATAGTTTCTTTTTCATTATTGTTTGTTAGGATGCTTGTTTATGGTACTACTAATAATAATAATAATTGTACACGCGTTTGGTTGAATTATTGTTCTAGTTCTATAATTATCAAGTTGGTCACGCCACGCCTCGTTAAAAAATAACTAAAGAACCAGGGTAACCATGCTGTATTATTATCATTATTTTTTTAAACGTTTACAGATAAGTGAAAAAATGGCTGCATGCGAACCAAGTCACAATAAAATTAAACATTTTAGAACAAATCGAGTCCTGGATTGTTTATTTAATGTACTTACATAATAATTAAGTCCAGTGAAATTTAAAATATAATGCTAATTATTGAGTCCACGATGGTTAAAGACTAACTGAATTTCATGTAACTTAAAAAAAAACAACTTCCTAAGTTTTAACGGATTTAGAAGTGTCCATGGCCATAAAACTATAAACATATAATATTTAAAAATGATTTTTATCTTTTTTCGAAAATTTGATCGTTTTTTTTTTTTTTTATTAATTGTTTAAGGCATCAAATGCGAGGTTATTAGCCGGCGTTACATATATACATTTATATTAATTTCTTACATACTATCTTAATTTCTACTAGTTTTCTATATATTTACAAATTTATTTTAACTATATTACAAAAATTTAAATCAGTTGACGCAGTTCTGTTGAGTTGACGAAATTAAAGAGTCTTTTGGTCGTCTCAGGAGTGGGTGTTAGTGTCTCGTATAGTGTCTCAGGAAGTTTTAGCTCAATGCGCCTTTCAATGAACTTTCAACATTCGGTAAGTATATGTTTGACGGTGATGATTGTTCCGCACTTCGGGCATGATGTAGGGTCTTCTTTGGCCATGAGATATCCGTGAGTCATGCGAGTGTGGCCTATTCGTAAGCGTACAAGAATTACCTCGTCCCTTCTAGAGATTTCAAATGGTTTGGGCCATGGTAATGAACTAGTGTATAATTTTTTTTACGTTTAAATATGGGAGAATTTATTAGGGGGGAGGGGGGGACTTTATTGGTGGGACTTTATTCACAGCAAAAAAAACTATTCGGTTTTTCGAGAAAACAAACGACGGCGTTTTTTTCAGTTTCTGTACACAAGCAGTCCATGTAAAAAAATAAAAACGTCGGTTCCTGGTTCTTCAAAATTATAACCATTTCATTCTACTGAAAGTCCTTACAGAAATTATTGTGTGTAATAATTCCTTGAGAACAAGTTCTCCCAAAACATTGATCTCTAATATATTAGTTAATATAAACTGAGTTTGGGGGTCGTAATAAAATTAACTTAATAAAACCCCTTAATAAAATAATAAAAATAAGTAATAATATAAAAACTCCAATGATAATGATAATAATACATTTAAAATATTACCAATATTGTTATTTTTTTGTTTTTAAATTGATATTTTATGATAATGTCAATATTATTATGTTCATAGATGTTTTATAACCCATATTTAACGAATACAAAATAATACATTTATAAATTACAAATAGATATAATTATATAAAACTAGTATGGTTTATATTGTTATGATTCAGAATGTTATTAAAACAATTCGTTTTCAATGACATAAGAATAATTAATTAGGTATTAAACAGGAAATTTTATTGGTTTACATATTTATACATTAATGGCTTGTTCTAATAATATAAAATATTATTATTTGATTATAATAGTTTTGTAATGCAAAATTCACATTTAGAAACCTTAACATTATGCAAATGGTATCTAGTGAACAATAAACACTCATTACTTATCTAATGTTCGAAATAATATTAAACTCTTGAAAATACTAATCAAATTTTGTTCGTCTTCTCGTACGAATCAGTGAAAAGAGTGTGGACAAAAACGGTTTCTCGACGTCTGGCACCGGACGGTTTTATATTTCAAAAATTTTTTTACGTCTGATTGGTAATAAATTGTACTCGTTGTGCGTTATATATACTATTCTGGGAACCGGCGACAGTGACAGTGGTGGTGGAACATTCAAGTGGTATATAACTCGCGATTTACATAAAACTTTCATTACTTAAAATAACGCTCTTACACTTCACTTTGTCAACCTTGTCTATTTACATTTAAGTCGTCGTCGTCTTCGCAGTCGGTCGAATGTTTTATTCAGCGGTGCTTAAACGAGTGGCGTGTTAAAAATATACGTCTCGCGTAATTTGAACTCCGATTCGTCGTAATTTTATTCCCGACAGACTTGGGGAAAAAAACCACAATATAAAAACCACAGTGCCCAACGGCTGGTTTACCTCGTCGCCCGTAACACTTGGTTGTCGTATATGTCTCTTAATAATGTGTATACCTCTAACTACTTATTAGTGTACATTATATACGATCCCGTCACGAATCGGATGCGTACGAATCCCTGGCGTTCTAATTTTCTTCTGCATTTCCAGCAGCAGACGATGAATTGCGATTCACGACTTTTGTCGATGTGAGACATTTTTGTGTAACGTTGCAGTAAAATAATTGTAACGTCAAATTTAATAGTATTTATGCGTTTAAATCAGAAGTCGAACGAGCGGTATCTGAGTCATTGGACCTCGTGTGATCGGCCACGGAAGTACTTAATTTTGGTTTTACATGCAAAATCGTATGTACCTTATAATACATAAATATATAGTATACTTAAACTTGATGGACGTGAACTTTTGTAACTTGAAATCGTCGAAACCGCGAACTTTTTCCAGGTTCCTAGAATTGTCTACTATTGTATTATTATCCTTGAATTACTCGAATTCTTGGATAACTCTAACTTGTTGGTTATCCTTTTTGGAGTTAGCCAAGTTCGACTGTGTAATATAGTTTGTGTTACTTATTAAAGTCATATGAGCAGATAGTCGAGTGACGGCCATTTTTTGGTATATTTGAAAAAGTTAATAAATAAACATAATATTGATGCTCCTTTTTATCTCCTGTTCGGAACAGACTTTAAATTTCCTATAGGTCATTCTTTCCTCCTGTTGTTCCTTTGCATAGTAAATACCTGTGGCTTGGTGCAAGAAGGGCCAATGTCACATTTTGATGAAATTGAGGTTCTTTGACCAATGTAATTTTTTTTCGATTATTTTCCTGTTGATAAAAGGGCCAATGTATTTGAACAAGTGTGACCAACTTAGCGTAAAGATTGGCCATTTGATTTGAACGAAGAGTTAAGTGTTGTTATTTTGAAGATAAGGCTTATCAATACATTGGCCATATCAGTGAAAAAATCATATTTAAAACAATTGGCCAAAGTGTAGTTAGGACTAAATGATTTTTGTACATGTGTAGATTGGCCTATTTTATTTTTCAAACTGATAATGGTTTATTTAGCTTAACTGATAATAATTTGTTAATAACGGACGTTAAAATGTAATAAAACTCAATTAAATTGTTTATTGTTAATTGTTAGTTGTTAGGTAACTTAGGTATTAGTAATGTTATTTATTTTTTAATAGTGTAAAATTAATTTGAGTACAATGAGTTCTAGATCAAGACACTTGGTGCGCATGTGTCAGATGGGTAAGTTTAAATATTATTATGTTCTCTTTTATAAAATACTGTTTTTATTATAAATTAATATTTTAGATCCATCAACATCATCTTCCACTCAATCTTCATTAAATAGTATTGTTAAAAGAAAATTATCCTGCATATCATCTAGTTCAGAAAGTAGTATTGATTATAACGATTATTCATCTGATGAGTATGTACCACCCTTTAATGACAAAAATGTATCTAGTTCTGAGTCTAATGATTCAATCATGATTGATAATATTGAAGCAAATAATAACACTTTAAATGAACAAAGTATACCAAATGCAGAAAAAAATGATTTTGTGTCAGAAACTGATCAACTGCAACACAATGAACAATGTTTACCAAATGCAGAAGAAAATGAATTTGTGCAACAAATTGATCCTGTACAACAAAATAAAAGAGGACGTAAGAAAAATGAGGGTCTAAAAACTAGAAAACGATTATCAAATTCTAAAGCTTGGGTAAGAAATGTTGAAAAAGAAAAAAAAACAAAAGGCCTTGAATATGTTAATACAAAAAGTAAAATAATAAAAAAAAAGTCTTTATTACCGCCATGTTCTTGTAGAATGAAATGTTTTGAAAAATTTTCCAGTGAAAACAGAGAAATCATTTTCATTAACTATTACAATTTACCAAGGGAAAGTCAACAACAGTTTATTGCATCGTCTGTCATTGAAACTGATAAAAAAGTGCCAAGGGTCAGAAAAAACAAAGAAGTGGAGAGTAGAAGAAAATATAGTAGATTATATTTTCTTTCAAAAGGAAGTGAAAATATTCAAGTTTGTCAACTCATGTTCTTAAATACCTTATCAGTCACATTAAAACAAGTAAGGAATACGGTTGAAAAAAAAAAGATCAACTAATTCTGGTATGTGCAAAGTTGACAATAGAGGTAAACATGGAAATCATAAAAAAATCAATGAAAATGACAAAGAAATGATTCGTAACCACATCAAAATGTTCCCTGCTGTGGAAAGTCACTACTCAAGAGCTCACTCAGAAAAAACTTATTTAAACCCTGATTTATCTATATCTCAAATGTATAGATTATATGTCAGTTACTGTAAAGATTTAGAAATAGTTGTACTTAATGAAGCTATATACAGAAAAATTTTTGTTGAAGAATTTAATATGTCATTTAAGAAACCAAATATTGACACATGTCAGCAATGTGATAAATACGAAATGATTATGAAATCAACTACAGATGAAGAAACACGAGAATTTGCTAAGATAGACAAAATTAAACATTTAGAAATGGCTGAAGAATCATAATATGAAGAAAAGAAAAAAGATAAATACCTAAGTAAGACTAACTCAAAAGTTTTGACTATTTCTTTCGACTTGCAAAAATGCCTTCCTACACCAATGTTGATGAATGGTGTATCATTTTATAAGAGGCAACTATGGACACTCAACTTAACAATGTATGAAACCACTATTGATCAATCAAGACCTATTTGCTATTTGTGGGATGAGACAATTGCTGCAAGAGGAGGCCAGGAGATTGCATCATGTCTTTTCAAACACATTTTTGAGGAAGTGAAAGAAGATATTGAAATTATTAATTTTTATAGTGACTGTTGTCCGGGACAAAATCGCAATATTTATATTACTATAATGTTATTGCAAGTTGTGAACATATGTCATGCCAGACAGAGACAACTAACTATTAATCATAAATTTTTGCAGCCAGGTCATACACATATGGAGGCTGATTCCATCCATGCACTTATAGAAAAAACTAAAAAAAAATCTTTAGCAAGCATTGAAGTTCCTATAGACTGGGTAAATCTAATCAGGATGATACACCGCACTCCGCCTATTAAAGTACAAGAAATGGTACAGTCAGAATTTTTTAATTTTAAAAAACTTCTTAGTACTTCATATGTTCACCGCAAGTTTAATAATAAAAATGAAGCTGTATCTTGGAATAAAATTAAATGGATTCAATACAGAACCAGTTCACCTGGAATAATGTTCTACAAATACTCATTTGGCCAAGAAGAATTCTTGGAATTACATTTAGAGAGGAAAAGTACTCGAAAATCTGTTGAAACAAATATTGTTCTTGAACCTATTTCGACTACACCACTACCACTACCAACAGAAAAAATTAAAGACCTGAAATCACTAATGCCATACATTCATCCTAACAGCAGGTAATACTATGAAAGCTTTATGAACAATTTGGTTGAGGGTAATCCAGAAAGCTCGGATGAAGACTGATTGTTTTTTATTTCTAATTTTTTTATTCTGTTAATTACAATTCTTTTTAAAAGTATTATTAGTGAGAATACTATACTTATCTTTTGTTTTTATTTGCACAGTTATAAAGATGTTAATTTTGAATTTATTTTATAGGTAAAACAAGACTTTAAAATTGAATTAATTTACCATTTTATCTTTAATTAAGGAACTTAAAGACTAAAAAATGTTATTGATTTTCTTTAAAGAATTTTATAAAATATAAATTTTATTGTTAAAAGAGTTATTTCTAATCTTTTATTTTGTTATTTACAATTATTATATATTAAAATATTGTGATAAAATATTGTGTCATGTTATAATTTCTACTACTTATTTTTAATACAGTTTTTGACTATAAAAGATATTTTTATTTATGCAGTTGTATTTTATTATTATGGCCAATGTCAGATAATATTAAAATATTTTTTTTTATAGATGGGCCAATGTCAATTTTTATTCTTTATTTTAGTTACTTTATTGATAGTTTATCAAAGATATTATGGAAAAAAGAAAAACTAATTGAACCATAACAATTATATCATATTAAAATAAAATCTTAAAATTTAAGAGACATTTTTAAAAATGGCCAATTTTAATAATAGAGTTTCCCAACAATGGGCATTTTTGACATTGGCCCTTCTTGCACCAAGCCATTTATTGGTAAGGATAATGCGATTGGTGTATGATGCGTTTGGGAAATTAGCACTATACATTTTTCAGTTGGTAAAAACTATACTCAACACATTATTTTGATTGTTGATCGTGAGTAATTATTACTATTATTTTATTGTGATGTCAAATAAGTTTAATATTTATATTAATTTATATGTATTGTATTCTGTGGATTAAATATATTATGGGCATCATATATCTGTTGAATAATAAAATAACAAAATAAATATAATAAGATTAATATAATGTTTAACTCATCACATATCGCCATCATATTTTCTTCTAAAGGTATTATTATGGACAATAATTATAAAATTATCTTCATTACGAACAATTTTGATTTAAATATATAAAATGCACAGAAAAAATCTTATGAATAACAATATTATAATTAACAAAATTGGCTACTTCAGTTTCAAAATCATTATTTCTATTTATTCGTAATTAATGAAAATGACAGGGATGGTAGTGATGCTTGTAGTGAATCATCCTGTAGATTATATTATACACTCAATGCATTTGATTAAAGTATAATATATTAATTAAATGTGTTGATAACAGCTGGATAACCCCATACCTGGTAGTCATCACGAATCGGAGAATACCAGTTATGGACACCGCGTAGAAAGCGATCCACTGATTTGAACAATATTTTAAGCATAATATTACATTATTAATACGCCGTGGGACGAATAAATCTAAGAAAATAATTGCCAGCGCACAATGTATATATGTGAGATGCAGTGCGGGTAATCCACAAGATGTATTTATGAATATTTATTACGTATTATATATCGAGATATATACTAATATTATAATATAATAATTTGCAATTTAAATGTTGCCGTCGATGACGGTGAGACGATATTAAGCCATGCGAGGCTTACGGTGTGTCAGAATAATAATAAGAGTAATAATATTTTGTAATAATATATTAAGCATAAATATATATTATACAGTCGAACTTTGTTAACTCCAACTTTTTGACACGAAATCTTCGATACTTTGAACTTTTTTTCCAGACCCTAAAATTGTCTGGGGTTGTATTATACTTGGATAATTTGAAGTTTTTAGAACGTCCCTTCAACTTTAAATTAACAAAGACTTATATTATACTGTATTATATTAGTATCTTCACAGTGTTGTAGCAAATTATAGCATGGCATGTGAAGTATCTGTTTGGAACTCTTTATGACAAGTTTCAGCTTTTACGAGGTTAATTCGTCCGGATTTTGTAGTTCCTAGTCAACCAAGTAAAACAAAATTACATACCATTTAATTTGGATGTACATATTACAACATTTAGATGGAACTTATCACACTAAGCAGGCTTTATGTATTATGCTAAAATAATGTTACCTTTAGGACGGACCCTACCGACCAACTTGAATCCCCAAATACTGTGAGGTAAAAAAAGTGAAAAAAATTGAGCATCAACCCAATCTTAAGTACACTTAGCTGCTACATAATGTGATGTAATGCATTCTAATGTACCTATATACATGATAGTATAAAAGTTTAAATATTTTTTTTTTTATTTCTCACTAACTTTTTGAAACCGAAATGAATTAAATTTGTAATTTATAGTAAATATTTATGTTAACGGTTTCGTGAAATTATAATAAGATAGATATAAATAGAAAGTGAAAAATAATATAAAAATGTGTACAGTTGACGCGTCTAAGTAAAAACCATAAAAAAAATTATAAAGTTTTCATTTTCACTCTTCGTTATTATTTTTTATTGTGCCATAGTCATGTCATATTATTTTGAGGGAGAAAAGTTTTTTTGAAAATTCAAAATCAGAACAAAACTCCGTTGAAAACTTCTCAAAACTAGAGACAAATAACTATTGTTCATTCGCTGACCAAAAAATGTCTTGGCGTAAGGCAATAACACAGATCCCTGGCAGTAAAAATCGAGCACCTGTTCGATTATTGTAGATGATAAAAGAGTGATCGAATAGGCGCATGACGTAAACATAATGTGTATACCTACCACATAAAAACAAATTGGATATAGTCAAATGAATCTATGCCCCCCCCCTCCGCCTCCTCCAAAAATCAAGTATATCTGTGACTATATTATTATATTTAATAGTTGATAAAAATGTAATATTGCTCTAAATAATATCATTGTTCATTAAAAATTGTTATTCAAAAACGTAGAATAGAGAATTATTCGGGTCATATGCTTGTCAGATGTTTAATTATTCTATGGTATTGGGGTGTCACAGGTTTTGGGTTAATTTATGTACAAAGCCCAACTAACATTTTTTATAAATTATAGCTACATAACACTATGGAAACAAATGTTTTCTCGTCCGACAAATGTCTGTAAGAATTCCATCTATTTTAACTGTATTATGTTTGAGGACGGAGTAGCTAGTATATAGGTAGGTTAGGTATTATGTTACCTACGTTATTCCATGGAGTGGAGTGAAATCCGTAAGGACTTTTTTCGCGTGGCTTTTCTGGGCGGCCATCATCGTCTTCTCGTAGATGGAATATTTCGTTTTAACATTTTTATCAACTCGTTTGGCTCGTCATGATCGATGATGATGCGTGCGTGGAAAAAGCAGAGCTCAGGTCATTGTGGGTATTATTTTTTGTTCGCTATTGTTTTGCTTTTATCGATCGAGGTGGGCTCTCTGCTCGTCTTCATAATGATGATAACGATGGTATAATAATACCATGTATCGCGTAGTAGGTCTGAGTACGAGACCAGTGTTTGTCGTGATCGCGTCTCTAGGAAAACGGCTCTCCGAGCGGGTTGATCGTGAAGGGCAGTTCGGTGTGTCATGGTGCTCTGTCTCACCCCTAGCCGCGACGTCGTCTATCAATCGCGCTAGACAAGTGAAAGGCGTACTGGTGGGGATGATAGAGTGTTCGAGAGGGAAGGTGAAGAAGGGGGAAAAACGTTTCTGATTTATAGCCTGCCCATCAATATTCTGTTCTTTTCAATACACCCCCACCCCTTTTGGACCTACCAACGCACAGCTCGCCGAACCATGACTCGCGATCGATAAAACATGAACGCGGTACGTGCAGATAGTGCGAGTCTTACACGTGTGTGTGTGTGTGTGTGTGTGTGTGTGTGTGTGTGTATGGGTATGTGGTGTGGGGTGTACGCGGTAGGCGCTCGCTGAGATTCGAAACGTCATATCGCCCCCAAGACAAATACGTCTTAAATTACATTCCGAGTACAGATTCATCATTCCCGTGGCCGGCCACGTGCGTTAGCGAAATTCGGCGGTGAAAAAGAGCTGGCCTGGAAATTGCTGCCGTGTGGAGGGCATCGACGAGGTGGAGAGTGGTGAAAAAATACGATACGATAAATCCTCGCCGACGACCGAGTCTTGAACGTACATATATATGTCGTAATATATTATACACCGCTATGAGTTATTGTCGCACGACGACGACTACAACGATGGCCACGAGGACGAATTTTCATGTCGGTCGATCGCTTTCCACCGTTCACGTGCCCAATAAAATAAGCGCACCCAAGAAAAATCAGAAGATGGATTCCCGAAGATCCAGCAGCTAATAATATACACGACACACCGTTTAGAAGAGGGTATCACTATAGCTTTTACGAAGTCTATTTAACGCTCAAGCAAAACTAAAAAATAATATTATAATCAGTTCAGGCGTTCGGAGTTACTACGGTCATATCAACTTATCACATGCGTGAAGTTGTCCCCCCCCCCCACTTTAACCCAGAAACTTCAAATTACTTAAGAAAAATTGCTTCTTATTTGCTAGAATTTACTATTTAGTTTTTAGAATTTGCATGGTTTTGGTTTCCCAAGAAAACAATTTTTTTTCATTGGGGGGGCAACTTCACCTCAGCCTTCCTCCAAGTAAAAAAAATGTTTTCCGGGGAAACCAAAACCATGCAAATTCTTAAAACTCTGTAGGAAATTCTAACAAATAAGGAGCAATTTTTCTTAAGTGGTTTGAAGTTTCTGGGTTATAGTGGGGGGGGGGAACTTCACGCATGTGATAAGTTTAATATTTTTAAAGTTATTTTTATATTACTTAAATGTGCATAGATAGTGGTCACTGGTCAAAGTTTTTATGATACGAGGAGATGGAATACTTACACTTTTTATAATTTACATTTTCGTCTCTCACTTATTTTCAACCACTTCGACAAAATCTTATTAAAATTGTATGAAAAAGTTATCGGGTTTTGGATATGTATTTTTTTTGCTTAATATAAATTTATAGCTTACCCGGAAATACAGGGTTAAAAATAACACTCAACCAAATAACATTTTTAGATATTTTAGTGTACCACAATAACTTCATTTGAAACCCCAATAGGATGGTGTATATAATTTTATGAAAAGAGCTTAAAAATCGATTGGAAAATAATTATAATATTATAGGTAGATTTACGAATATTGTCCATAGAAAATGGTGAATGGCCGGTACATTTATTATGAAAAAAATATGACTAAATATTCAAATAAATTTCTTATTTTCCACGAACAGTTGTGGGAAGGCAAATCACGACCACTATAAAAATAAATTAAAACACTCAAACAATTCCACTTAAATACATGAAAATTGGCAAACGACTTCCAATCGGAGTTTTTGAACATTCAGGTAAACCTTCTAGCTATCTAATGTACAAATTGGTTATAGGCACTTCAACTTAAATGACTTATTATTTAATTAAATTGAACATTTTAGGAGTTATTTAGAACAAAATAATTTCCAATTTTCCTCGTTTTATATTTAGGTATTTCATATTTCTTAGCCTCCCATCCCATTCACCGTTTTCTCTGATGACCACCTATTTATTAGAGTATGAGTTACACATAACAAGTTGATAACCAAGAAACTGCACTTTGGAAATTTAATTCTAATGTATGAACAATGTTCAGCTGTTGAATATTGGCAATCAAAAATGCATATTCTATCATTAAAAAGTAAAAGTAAATTATGACATGATGGTTTTAATACATTTTTGTTTTTAGAAAAATTAAATTAGGTAAGGAAATAATATTTTCAAAAACATTAGTTATCCTTTTCAAGACAATGATAATGAGTCTCATGAGTCTTCGCTTTTGAAGGAATCACCCACCATAGATCACACGAACTGCTGCTGTATCGATCGCATGCTCGCCGTTTGTTTGTATGTTTATGAGGAACTGTAATCAGTTCGAAAACGACTTACGAAAACTGCAGTAATATAATAGTGAAGCCACTACGAAAAGCGCCAGTGATCGTGTCTTACATCATACACAGCTAGCTGGCGGCAGTTTGGCAATTTTCGTTCACGAAACGTATCCGTCAATGCCTATTCAAATCGATTCCAATCTCGGTGTAACAGCTGCGCAAATAACGTTCGGAAAACAAATAACGATTCGCAATATTTATCTTCCCGACAGTCAAGATATCACCACCAGCGGAGACTCGACGAATATAATTATGAAACGATTACCGTCGAATTTTGTATGGCGGAGCAAAGAGACCGCTATAAATTATAATGGCGCGAGCACGTCGTTCATGCCGAAACTCACTAGAATTATCGATTTACTGCGCCACATATTATGAGCGATCGTAAATATTTTAAGCAAAGAACCCTGCTATTATTATTTTTTCGACATTACCTGTATTAATATACTCGTAACTAAATGCTGTGGTGAATATTATACCATTAAATTAGTAATTTTTTTATTTGAATATAATTAACACTTTTTCCGTAATACATTTTTTGTAAGTTTTAAAATACATTTTTTGGTTGAGTACAAAAATGTACGTGAGTAGATGTACAAAACAGTTATCTAGCACTCTCTGATCCATATTTTGATCAATTTTAATTTTTTCCATCATTTTCATAAAATAAGTTATCAATATATATTATTATATAGAATTCTGAATTATATTCAATTAAAAACTTAAATTCAAAAAAAAAAAAATATATATTACCTAATCTTATATTTTGTATAACTTTTAAATTTTTGTAATGAAATTGATTTTACAATTTTTACTTATTTTTTGGTTAGATTATTCCTACAATATTATTGTACAGTTAAAATGTGTGTTTTTAGTGCAATGCAATATAGTCTTTACTTGTTTACTTATATTACTACCGTACTGGCTGTTCTTCAAATGCAATTTGTAATTAATCAAAATTGTTATTTAAAATATTTTATCTATACCTAGACAACACTCAAAACATGGAACTCTGGTAATGAATATTTTAAACAAATTTTTCAATTGTTCAAATATTGCTAACGTTAAACCATCATTATCTTCTTCTGAATTTTACACAAACCTTGTAAACACGGTACTAGCTTTTAGATGTGTTTGTTCGTTATTAATTTATCATTAAAAACTATATTAGGTACATGAATTATATAATATAATATGAAAATATTGTTTAATTTTTTATTTATTTATTATTACTAAACCATTGGGGTACTTTATAAATATAACTATTAAAAATAATATTACATGAATAAAAACCAAATAAATACAATTTGTTGTCAATTGAATGCAATGGTTGAATAAAAATACAATACACCAACTTTTGTTTTTATTTATTTAATGCGAATCATACACGAAACAACGTTATTTAAATGGCGTTTAGAAAACGTTGAATCGATCCACATAAACGAAATCAAAACCCTAAATTATTATTGTGTTTCATGAAAAAGTTTCTTGACAGCCAACAAACGTTATTGATGTCAGACCTTACAGAGGAAGATATAATTATTTGAGTACATAAGACTTTGGTGGATAAGAACACAAATAACGCAGAACTGAAGAAAAATTTAACATCGAGGCGTCGATGTGTGAACTTAAAATTAAATAGCAAGAAGGCAACGTCTGTGTGACCCAGGCAAAGATGACTGGACTTCGAGGTGACTTTAAATATACTGTTGCTAAATTGGATTGCCATCAATTACAAGAAGCATGAAATAAAATAGTTGATCCGTTGTCGTCTGACATTCGACAAAAACGGTAAACTTAAGGCTAAGGATAAGCTGTTGATCACCAAACACGGTGTGTATTAATACGAAATTTTGTAGCTCATTAGGTAATGAAAAACAATACAGTCTAATATAAATTTTCCGAACGGATCGACTTTTTTAAAGAGTGAAAATCAGGTGTTAATAGGAAACGGAAAAATAGCAACAGATTTCTGAAAATAAATTTGAATTAAAAAATGTTTATATTTTAGACATATCATTTTCGTGTATGATTTTTTTCAAACATTTAATTCGTTCCGATAGCTTTTTACTCAACTCTTTGAGTTCACGCTCATCCTGAACTTTGAATTTTAATTTCTTTTCACAAATCTGTTGCTCTCGGGCATGTTGTTCACGCTCCGTCCTCAACATTTTTGCTGACAACTCCTCGTTCTCTTTGAGATTTTCCATTTCCTGCTGTAGTCTGTTTTTCGTTGCCTCCAAAAATTTAATCGATTCTTGCTGATCTGCTAGATGACATTTCAGCGTTTTGTTTTCCATTACTGAGTTGCTTAGTTTCGTATTAATACCCTCCATGCTCGTCACTAACGACTTAATATTAGTCCTAAGCTTATCATTTTTCTCCTCCAATATTTTTTTCTCTTTGCAAAAACCTTCATTCGTTTCTTTAATTGTCTTCTCAAACTCGGCCGTTAGCTTAACTATTTGACATTGTGCGTCTTGTAATTGATTTTCAGATTCCTCTAATTTAGCGAAATTTTGTTTCAATTCCATGCGCAGTCTAGTCATCTCTGTCCGTGTAGCACAGACGTCGCTTTCGTACTTTATTTTCAATTCACACAGCGACGAGTTCAAACTCTCATTAAGGTCCTGTTCGATGCTCAACTTTTTCTCCAGCTCAGCATATTTCATTATCTTTTCAGTCAAATTGTTTTGTATACAAATTATTTCTTGATCTTTTACTTTAAGTTCTGATTTCAATAGTTGTTGGCTGTTGTAAAGCTTCTTCGTTGCATACGACAGTTGCTTTTGTAGGGTTTTAATTTCATCCAAATGGATCTTCTCCATGTTTTCCATCTCCTCGTTTGACCTTGCCTTCTGCGTTTCTAACTCACCATTTAAACAGTCTATTTCTTCTTGGTAGCACAACGAGCGTGATTTGAACATACATTGGAGCCCATCAAGCTCTCTAATTAGTTCTTGGTTTTTATTTTCTAACTCGTGAAACAGTTCATCCTGTTTTATTTTAACAGCATCTAGCATGTCGAACCCCTGGTACATCTTAGCAGCCAATTTTTCGTTTTCGTCTTCACGGTTATTTAGTGTTGTTTCTAGTTCATGTATATATGTTGCCATCTGTTCTATTTTGCATATTAGTTGCTCATTTTCACTGTCCATAATTGTTTTCAATTTATAAATTACTAAATAAAAATCTTAAAATATATTGTTAATATTTGTCTAATTGTCTTTAGATTGTCTTAGATTGTTTAAAATATTCATGTTATTTGTTTATGAACATATATGTATCCTAGTTACATTATATTTACAATCCATCATATTATTTGAGTGCTCATAATGTTAGTAGGTATGTATTTAAAATTTGAAAATGTAATACAGAGTTACTCATAGACATTTATTTTTATTTACCACATAAAAATTATTAAAATTACATCTTAGTAACAATATTATTTAATGAGCATTTAAAATTGTATAATTTATTTTATTGATAGAAATTTATGAAAATGTTTATTTTAATATATACAATTTGAAAATGTAATACAAAATGCCATAAAAGTTTTTTGTCTTTGACAATATAAAAAAAGTTTACCACAAAGTAACATTAATTTTTTTATGAGAGATTGAAGTTCAAATTTTTTCGACATTGGACACACACACACACATTATTGTAAGACCAAGAATCTAAACATATTTAATCTCACATAAACGTATAATAGTTCATCGAATCAGTCGTCAACTACTATAACTGCAGTCTACAATTCTACGCACACGCATAGTATTCTACCGATATTATTGTATTTCAGAACCATTCGATGAAATATTAATTTATGATCCACGATATTTGTGTTTATATAGTATAGATGATCGAAAACGCACGTATCGCGCGTCCACCGGATTATTTATTATAGGGGCAACAGTCGCGGCGCACCGAACACATCATTTACCTCCATCTCCTCCTTCCTACCGTTGCCCCAGCTAACTGAGCTATATTGACCTATATATTTTCAACTGCGAATTTTCCGTTTCCGGCGTGTTTATCGTAACATTAAATACTGTGGTGTACTGCCTCAATAACTCGGAAAATCGTATCAACACTGGTACATCTTGTAGGTTAGGTTAGGTTAGAAATTTATCGTAAAATATTTTTTCACTATCTTCGGTTTTGCTCATAATTTGATAATAATATGTGATACTATTGTGTGACTTTTACAGTCATTTCGAGGCGTCTAGATGATTTTCAGACGATTACATAATATTATGTTATCTCAATCTGTGCATATGTCGGATTCGAGATGTTAGACATCTATTATATTTAAAATTTCTACGCAATACCGCGACTAATTATTAAAACCAAAAAAAAGGTTTCTTATAAAGCACAAATTTGTTTTTTTTTTCAAATCCAAATGTACTATTAATGTAAAATTAAAAACTTTGTGTGACTCAACAATTTGATATACTTAATTATACTTCTTGTGAGAAATAGTACGGACTTTAAAAATATTTGTATTCCCACCCACAATATTTCCGACATTCGATAACACTAATATTAAAAAACTTACCTCAACACGTTCTTTTAGTATAGTTATTGTAGTTTGTACAAAACGAAGTATATTACCTTTGATATTTAGTCGTATTATAATCGTATCAATGCACAGTAAATTAATTTTTTTTAATAAATGTTGTTTAAATGTAGAAACTACTTATACATATTTTATTATTTATACATTTTAAATCTGTAGCTTTGTAAGCAATTAGTACAAACTAGACTCGTATCGTTTAAGATTACATTTGGGTAGGTGGGAAGCAATAACTCGAATACAATTGATTATCGACCTTTTTGACTTTGGGGAAGACTATTATTATGGACTTCGACTTTGAAATTAGTTATTAAATAATTACTTTTAACAAGAATAACTTATAGGAGATAATGATGTCTACTTTTTGAAATCAAGTTTTTTCTGAACTACTTAATACACGTATTAACCCATATTAACACGAATAATTACAGTTATGAGCACCCAAACGTTTGTTTAAATTTTGTACTTCTGTTTCCGAAAAACCCAAATCCATCCAGTTCCAGAAACCTGAATAAATTTATTCGGGTGCACAACTATGTTTGTAATAGACGTTTAACATAATCATAATAACGTTTTCCTGCAATCCACTCTGATTTAAACTTAAAATTACTGAGACGCGTATAGTGATTGCTGCGGGTCACGTAGTAATTTAAGCTTTCTGCTGCCGAGTGTAAAATGGTTTCAAAACAACGTAAAACTAATAACAGTTATTATTGTATGGTTGTGATATAGACACACGATCCTTGACGAAATTAAACACAGTCATCTAGCTATTATAACATCTTAATATTCCAGTATGAATCAACAGACAACAATTATTGGAGATTATTTTAGAATCTACGTTATGATTTGTAACATAGTTACGTAGACTTGTATATAGGTATTGTATGATATTAAATGATGCTTGAAAATTGATATCCACGAATAAATGTATTATTCAAAATTAAGTAAGTACCTAATAATTATTATTATTGATGAAAAGGACTTTGACAAACAGCGTTATTGACGAATTGTGTTTAATGAATTAAATTTTGGTGAAATGTTATTGACGGACTGTCCTGGATCCTGCAAGAATTTTTGTGATTTTTTCACACTTGACTGACGTAAAAGTGCCACCACTTGTTACTTGTCATTTATAGTCATGTCCGTATAATGTTCATATTTTTTTTTTTGTACACACATTTTAAACTATTTTCTTCTCGCTATTTCCTTAAATTGAACCTTTGCACATTGATCGTTTTAAACTTTTATCATCTAATCCCAAGGGTTTTTTTCATGTAGGTTAGGTTATCATGTTAACTATGTTCAAAGGTTATTTTGGTAGGTTTCGGCAAAACATGTATCAACCTCACAAAAATTGTATTTTTGTTAGGATTGTTAATATAATTTATAACATTATTCTAAAATCAAAATCAAACGGTTATAAATTATTCTATCACCAAATAGCTAGCTTTATTCGCTAATGTCAAATGTTTTTCGATCATTCATCGTGTTTGGTTTTTTTCTTCAAATTCCTATCTTATTGTTCTATGCAAAAAACCCTTTTTCTTTTCAACTGGAATAATAAAGTGTAGAACTGTAAATCCCTTATGTGGGTTTTACGAAATCGTATTTCCATAACACTTATTACCATCGTTTTTTAGCTGTCAAACCACAATACTTGATTTCATGTGATTTTGATATTAAAATCGAATGGGTCAAAACAATATCGTTTTCAAAAACAGAACTGTTTTAAATTATTGTAAAACCCGGAAACTACTCTCTTGTACAAAAATGAAATGAGGCGAAACGGGTGTTAAAAACGTCACACCTATAATACGTCATTATAAAACTGTCAAAAACGGAAATCGTATTAATTTAAACATAAAATGATAATACCATTTTACGTCAAACTACCCAAACAAACGTTGACCACGATTGTCGATACTACAGAAATGATAAATGACTAAATAATATTATGTTTTGTCATTTCAGCTTGACGAATTCAGAAGGCATTTGGTTTTAATTAAAAATAATTAAAACATTAAATATATTATTAAAAAATATATTAATATAATGTAAATAATAAATTAAATTAAACTAATTCGGAATGACTAAATATTACCTTACTAATAAAGATTTTCGAAGACGATATCGTTAAGCTCATTTTTTTTCGATAATATTATTATTTACAAATTCAAACGGGATGATTGTTTTATTTTAAAATTTCTCCAGCCCAGTTTCTTTTTAAATAACGGAGAATGTTTCTTGGCAATGTGAGAGAGAACAAGTTTTAATATATATTTGGTTGATTAATTTTGAATGAAATCTTTTATAGGAACCTTAAGTAAGTTCGTTTGTAGTCTTATAAGTAGTTATGAAGGGCTGAATTTGGTATGCACTGCGAGAGTACCAGTGACAAGTTTTTAATATAGTTATTTTGAGTGAAAAGCTTGAACTGCACACGTATTTTCGAGGGTTTAGCAGGGCCTCACATTTAAATGGCAATTATAAGTTATTTATTTCTAAAACTCGTATTATATTTAAATTTAGATTGCAGGAGAAAATGAAACTACAGTCGTGCTGTTTGCGTTTTTGATAATATTTTAAGCACGCAGTGTTCAAGTAAGCTGACGAAGTGATGACCCTGCGAAATCGGGATTACGAATACCCGTAATAACCACAGTAGGAATGTAGTTTTACTACTTTTGTTAAACGAAAAAAAAATGTATTTTTATAAAATTTAAAACGAAGAAGATGAAACGCATAGGTATATTTACTCAAAATACGGCGTGACTCGGGTGCATTTACGAATTACTTTATATTTTCCGGCATAACGCCGACGAAGTAATTTATTGCACGATAAATATATATATAAATATATACATATATGAGTGAAAGTCGCATTATTATTAGTATTGGCCACGGTGTACCGATAACTCGTATCGGATATAATATCGATTGTAGAAGGGGAGTGGATGGAAGAGTAAAAAGGGGGAAAATGCTAAAGAAAAAGTATACATATACATATAACGTGTATAATATACGCGTAATACGCGTGTATATATATATATATATATATATATATAGACGTATACATATATGTATGTAGACGTTTCTAGACGTTGTGTTATATTTAAATTTATGCGCATATACAGCTATAGCGGGGAAAAAAATGGAAACATCGTAAAATAAAAATGTTCCCACACCCCTACATCCATCCCACCATTATATATATAAGGCGCCTAACCATGCCCCGACCGTATTGAACGGAACGAACGTGATGCGATGACAAGTATTTACGATAATATACATATATATATATATGCGCTAGTACGTGTTTCGATAGAGATCTATATATTTTTATAATAGACGCAATTTTAGTCGACTTACGGTCCGCCGCCGTAAACCGTCGAATAAAAGTTTGTTCTCAGCCGCTGCCGATCGCGTATAATATATATATATATATTATACTACAGGACGAAAAAACGTGAGACGCGTAATCGAAAAGAAACACTAGTCCGCCAAACTTTGTGTGGGGGGTTGTTGTAGAAATATCATACGATTAATAGTATATACGCGTGTTCGTCGCAAATTATTGTT